AATTAGATTATTATCAATCATATATTATATAAAATTTCTTTTTAGGTTGTATCCCTATCAGTCTCTGTCTTTTGCACCAATTTACCAACCATTTTGCTATTAATAAATTCCCCAAGATATATAATTTTTATATACTATTAAATTCACTACATAATATAATAAATTTCAATCTCATCACATTCATAATTAAATAATTCAACACTAAAATTATTTTAATTATTTCCTTTTATATATTTCCAAATAAAATGTCCTATCTACCAATTTTCTTACCATTATGATAATCATTGTTGCAGATAATTTCTAACTACATTTTTATAGTCATCTCTTCATTCATTTTTTATAGAAATAATTCCAAATAACTATTTTTTAACTTTAACATATTCTCCACTTTGATTTACTTATTTTTTACTAAAATATATTATTAACTTTTATTCCAAATAAATTTATATTATATCCACCAAATTAGATGAAAGTTCCCCCATTTCAAAAAGCTATTCCCTTACCATTTTTATTTATATTATGCCCATATTCATCTTGCTATCGAAGATATTAAATCTATTCCACATTTTTTTTAATTTCTAGATTTAAGAAGTGTTAGCTATTGATTCATTTTAGCACTTAGAAATTATAATTTCCTTTTTAATATTATTCCATAATTATAGTACTTCAATCAATGAACTAATATTATTGTGATTTAAATATTAGTCTTGACAATTTTCATCTTTATTTGATCCACCTTGCCAATTTTCTTATTACCATTTAAATTACTCTAAACAAACTTGTTTGATTTAAGTTTAATTAATCATTTAAAAATATTAAATTTATTTCTTTTAATTTATTCAAACATATAATCTAAACTGTAAACATATTTGTTATTTAATTGTATTTGAAATTTACATAATCGATTTCTAATATTACTTTTTTTAAATGATTAAAATTTACACATATCTTAATAAATTTTTTGAAATCGTATCAGCCACAGCTTGAAATAAACTATATATTATTTATTTTCTTTATTATTCACATTGGAAACTCTTTGAATAATACTCAAACTTCCATTAAATCTTCATTTAAGATAAAATGAGACTAAAGAAGTACTTAACTAATTATTCATAGGTATTTTACTTGACATAACTCTTAATATGGCTCATAGCATACTAATTTAGATTATCCATATATAATGGAATTATTAATTAAGTTATCACAGAGAGATCAAAGAAAAACAAGTAAGAATTATAACCTAATCAATATAAAAAAAATAAAAAGTTATAATAAGGTGATCTAAGAATAAATACAAAACGACTGGTAGAAAAAAGAAAAATACCTTCAGAAATAACAATAATTAAATTATTCTGCCGCGTATCTGATCTACCCTTTATGCATCAACCTAATCCTTTAAAAGCCATTTAAATATTAAACATGATGGAAAGATCACTATCAAAAAATTAATTTCATAAGAATTTAAGGATTAATGGGAAATGAATCAAATTAATACATTCAAAAAATAATTAAGTACTTTTTAAATAAAGTGATCGATATTGTTTTTCAGCCATCAAATAATAGATTGACATATAATTGCAATATTGAAGTTTCAGTTACCAAATAAAAAATATATAAATCATGGTGATATGAACTCGTAGATTCTCTAAAATTCAATAGAAATTTTAAGTGAAATCAAAAATCATAATGAATTATATAGATAGATCTATTGTTATAAATAAATACTTTTAGGAGGAATTTTATTATATTACAAATACTAGAACGAGTAAAATATCTATTTAAAAAAAATTAAACTATTGTAACTTTATTACAAGATTTAAATTGAAAATAATAGTTAATTTAAAAATAAAGCCAGCATCTAGGTATTTTAGAATATTTAAAAAAATTACAATTGCGAAAATGTATCTGACCTTGGATAGTTGTTTTACAAGTATTTAGAATAAGAATTGGAATATTCTAAATAGATAAGAATATATTATCTATTAATATTATCAATTGTCATAATTAACTTCAATGTTTTTTTTAAAACCATTTGCCGCTCTATTTTTTGATAATCTTAATTCCACCCATCTCCCTACTTTTTTCCCTTATTTATATTCACCAATATGAAAGGCTTCAGATAATCCTATTCCATAGCCATAATCATCAGTTTACTCAACCCATCTTCCATTCTTTATTGAACCTAATTTTTCTCCAACATCATATGAACCTCCTCCACTAAATTTAAGTATTTCATGTACTTACATTAAATTAAATGGCTCACTGATTTTATTCCTAAACAAAATATCCCATTTGCCATACTTTTCACCATTCATGTACTCTCCCTAAAAAATTACTAAAGATTTGCTAAAAAAACCGTCACTTAACTCAACCCACTTTCCAGTTTTAACTGAATCTAAACCTTTTATAATAGAATATGATCCTCCACCGCTAAAATTCTATATTTATTACTTACATTTTTTCAAATTAATACCCGTCCTACCTATACATAATATCCCATCTACCAAATTTTTTGTTATTTTAATATTAACCATTATAAGTAAATTGTGCCTCTTTATAAAATCCATCACTCAGTTCAATCCAACTTCCAATTTTAATTGAGCCTAATTCTTTATTTATATCATATAATCCACCTCCTCTAAATTTAATTAAATTTATGACTACATTATTTCAAAATTATCTTGTTCATCTTTTCTAAAATTTAAATTCCATCTACCAAATTTTTAACCGTTGATGTAATCTCCAACTTAAATCACTTACGATCCATTGTAAAATCTTTCGCTCAATTCTCTCCATTTTCCAATTTTAATTGAACCCACTTCTTCCATATACACATATTTTCCACCCCCACTTAATTAAATAATCAATTCCCTTACATGTATTAAAAACTTTTATTCTCTTTCTTCCTAAATGTAATATCCCAACTACCAACTTTATTTCCATTTTTATATTCTCCATTATATATAACTTATG